GACGGTTTGGCCGCTTCCAGGAAAGGCAGGTGGGGAAGGGTTAAGAGGGACCGCTCAGGGACCATCCCAGCCAGAGCAGGACCATCCAGCTGTCACCAGACGAGCACAGGGGGACACTCCTGCACAAGCTGGTGGACACGCCATCCCTGCACACAGCCAGCTGGCCCGGCACAGCCCCATGCAGGCCCCCGGCCCGTCTCACGTTGGAAAAGTAGACAGCTGCGTAGTTTTTACGACACTGAGAAGTACACAGAAAAAAAATCATCATATTTATCAACAACTATTTGGCTTCCTTGGTTCCACGCTTATCTATGTGCGGAGGTACCAAAAGATCACACGACAATATACGAACATGTTTTAAATGCAAACTTACAAGTAAAGCTGAAGTCACCTCTGACTACAGCCTTCCATCTCACTCCTGCCTTCTCTCCCCGGAGACGACGATGGCTAAGGGTCCGACTTTGTCTTTCCAAGCCTCACCTGGTACTTTTATGACAAGTGAAGCAGGTACAACACCGCCTGTGTAAGCCTGTTTCACTTACAAACAACAACTCAAAAGACCTCCCAGGAACAAGAGTCAAAGGTGGCACCCTGATGGGACGGACTCGGACACGCCATGGCGAGGAGGGCTGGGGCAGCACGGGGACCAGACTGGCACGTAGATCGCTGTCCCCGCGTCGCCAGGAAATGCCGAACTAGAAATGAGTAAACATCTGAGGTCAAGAAAAAGAAGAGGGCTCTCCTGTGCCAGACACAGGGCGGGGCCGCACCCAGCAGCTCGCCAGGGTCTCCGTCTCGGCAGAGGCCCAAGAGGCCCTCAAGAGCCAGGAGAGGAGGGCGCGAGACCCCCGCTCCAGCCGTTAAAGGAGGAACAGAGAGGCTGAGGGGGTGTCCTGGGCTTGGGGAGGAGGACGGAAAAGCCACCATGTCCATAACCAGCCCCCTAAAACGCAGTGGTTGCTGCGGGTTGGCCCGGCCCACTCACGTGGCTGAGCTCTGCTGGGGCGTTGGCAGGGGGAGCCGGCCCTTCACCCCAAGGGGGTCAGGGCCCTGGCGTGGCGATGGTGGCGCGCAGAGGGGACACACCGCACGTGCAGGCAGGGACCAGGCCTCCCAGCTTCCTGTCTGCTGGAGTCACGTGGCCAAGCCGGATGCAGGGGGAGGGCTGGGGGCACAAGGTAAAGATACCGGGAGGTGCCGGGCAGGGGCCCCCTTCATGTAACCGTCCTCCAACATCGCAGAAAACCAGGACCTGCAGAACCTCTTACGCAGGCACACGTCCAACGTCACGCTGCCCAGCAGAATGGGAACCACAGGCAAGAGCCACCCGTGGCTGTTAGAGAACCACTGGAAGCCGGGTGTCTGTGGGAACTAGCGCAGAGCCACTCGGAGGGGCACGGGGACAAGCCAGCTCACGAAGGCTGCCCACAGGAAACAGCGCCCACCGAGGACAAGCTCACCATCCAGACACACAAACCGCACGGAACGCGACCCACTGCCAACAGGCAAGAGGAGCAGTCGACGGCAGTGCCCTGGGCCCCCCGGCTAGTGGGGTTCACACAGAACCCCCTCTGCCGCTGACCGCAGCGCTCGGGCCCGAGACCGCCCACAGGCTCGCTGGTGTGCTGAGAGGACTCAGACGCCCCTGAGGGCCGTCACACTTACAGTTACGGTCTATGACCACAAAAGGATGCAAATTAAAATCACCCGAGATTAGGGATGCACAGGGCAGAGTCCAGAAAGCCCCAGGGAGGCAGGGACACTGCTCCCGGCAGTGGTGGTGACAACACACACACGAGTCAGCAGACAGGGACGCTCCCCGAGCCCCGGTGTCCAGAGTCTCTACTGGGGCTCTTGTCACGTGAGCAGAGTTGACCACCCACACAGCTGACCTCACCCCCAGCGCCCCCGCCCAGGACGAGCTGAAACCATGTGACCCAAAGCCCCTACCCTCTTCACACTGTTAGACTGTCCAGTGACCCCGGCCGCCCAGGCAAACGAAGCCCCTAGCAGACAGGACACTCCAAGGGCTCAGAGCTGACCTCCAGGGTCGGGGGCAAAGGCCAGACCTGTCTTTGGGCACAGTTAAGTTCTTTACTACACAACCATAAAATAAACATGCTTGAAATAAATGATCATAGTGGTTTAAAAGAAATAAAAATAATGAAAGCAGACTAGTATGAAAAGGCTTGCTTTGTTTTTTAAATGACCCCAAGCACTTCCAGAAAGGGAGTGTGTACTGGGGGGCCGACTAGGGCCTGAGCTGCTGCGGGCATTCGGGTGCTCAATGTACGGGGCATGCATCAGTCGGCTCTGAGGCAGACGATGCAGCACGGGCGGGAGGGTTAAACAACGGGAACTCACCCCCTCTCAGCTCTGGGGGCTGGAGTCGGAGGGCAGGGCGCTCACGCGGCCGGGCTCTGATGAGATCCCCTCCTAGCCAGCAGATGGCTGCGTCCTCGCCGTGTCCTCACGCGGCAGAGGGACTCCGCTCCCCTAGTAAGACCACAGCCTCGACAGGTCAGGGCCTCATGTAGCCTTGGCCACCTCCGGAAGGTCCTGTCCCCAGTACAGTCGCCTGGGATTAGGGCTTCGGCAGATGAACGCAGAGGACACAGCTCGGTCCATGGCAGGAAGGCCTGGGGCGAGGCGCAGAGCTGGGAACACGCAGAAGCAGGCACTGCGCACGGAGCAGGTGCCGAGTGCGGCCAGAGAGTCAGGGCAGCCCTGCCCGACGCTGACCAGGTCGCCCAAACGAGAAAATCGTCTTCAGAACAAAGGAGACAAGTCTCACTCAGGATCTGAACTAAAGATCTAAGCTAGATGCATGTCATTTTCAGAAAGAAAGAGGAAAATCTAACACAGCCACAGAAAAGGCAGGAAGGGAACATCGTGACAGCAGCCTTGTCAGGAACAGACACCACAAGACGGCGGCGTCTGGGCTTCAAAGACCTGCTGGCCAGGTGGCTGCCAGCCTGAAACTCATGTCACCTCAGCCAGCACTCGGGGCCTCTCTACGACTGAGCGGCGCCAGCCCCCAGACCCTTGTGAAGGAAGCCCTCGGGGACACTCGGCGTCAACAGGGAGTGGACCTGAGCGCCGTGCAAACACAGAAACCGTGACCACCAGGCAAGCCAGCACTCTGCACAGCGCTCACGGGCAGCGGGGTGTGATGTTAGCATGACCCCAGGGGGCCTGGGGGCGAGGAGGACGCGATTCTGCTCCCGATGTGCTTGGCTCTCCAGGGCCCCTCCAAAGGACACAGCAAACATCTAATTCCCGAACAAAGGAAGGTGGGGTGATGGGCTCGGGGGGAAAGAAAATGCAGCTAAACCCACAGAGAGCACCAAGGAGGCCAGCAGGGAGCAGGACGGTGACCAGGAAACCGGGCAGACAGTGGTTAAGGGGGAGGGTGCAGCTCGGTGGTGGAGCGTGCGCTTGGCACGCACCAGGTCCTGGGTTCAGTCCCCGGTCCCTCCATTAAAAATAATGAAATAAAATTAATTTAAAAAACAGAACAGAATACAGTGCTTAAAATAAGTCCAGATACACTGACTATTTACTCAACAAACACCGACTGAGCGGCCTGGTGGCCAGATGCTGTCCTAACACCGGGAGGGCCGCCACCAGCCTGTCCATTCCCGACCTCGTGGGGCGGGCGGCGGCCCCAGTGCAGCCAGGGGCTCCAGCTCGTGTCGGACCCTCCCAGGCTCTGAGAGAACAAAAGCTGACACGACCCACAGGACACTCAGTCCAAACGTCCTGACACACCGAGGTCACAGGAAAGGGGCTGAGAGCCACCAGACCAGCTCCAGCCCAGTCGCGGGGGATCCAGCCACGTGCACACACCAGGCCGCCACCTCCAGGCTAAGACGAGGTGCAAAGGGTCACGAAGGGGAGCAGGCCACCAGGAGCGGAAATCAGGGACATGAGGCCACTGAAAACAAACGCACGTGTGCTCGGAAGCTCAGCCCACTTCTAACCAGCTCATCACGATGGAAATGACATACTCCTTAGGCCTGAACAATAAAATGGCCACACTCGCGGGAAGCAGCTAGAAGCAGACCTGGAATGAACACATTAGCCCACGAAAGAGGTGCAAATTCAAGGAGCAGCAAGAAGAAGCCTGAAACAGTGGACAGAAGGGATGAAAAGTAAAAGCAAAATGAACGAAGTGAAGGAGGAGGCAGAGGCGGTCCTGGAGGGAGGAAAGTGGTCCTGGCAGGAGGACTGGTCACAGCCCGCGGCCGGAGGGGACGCCCCGAAGCCCCCGGGGACCCCACTGAGGGCAGGATGGCTCCGGACGCACTGCCACACAGAAAGGAGGAGACACATCTCAGCGCGCTGGAATTCAAACCTGGCACGATCAAAATCAGCACAGAACTGGGAGACAAGCATGAACAGTGGAAAAAAACACCTGTATCACAAAAACCCACCAAAGAACTAGCATCCAGGACGTGTAAAGCAGTCCTACAAGTTAGTAAGACCGAAGCCCTATAAAAAATGAGCAGAGGAAGCAACAGCCTCTTCACAGAACACAAACATGCAAGGAGACACTCAGCCTCCGTCAGGCCACCGGACCGGAGAATCCGTTTCTCACCATCACAGGGACAATGGAGAGACGCATGCTGATACCAAGCGGCGACAAAGCGCAGGGCGCGTGCGCTCACACAGCCAGCGAGCGCGTGGCCGGGGCTGCTCGAGAGCAACCCGGCGACGCGCGCAAGGGCAGAGGGGGCAGGTTGGGAGCCAGCACCCACGCAGGCAGAGGTCCGTGAGTAATTCTAGAGGCGGATGTCTGTGCACGGGTTCCTCTGTATCTCACTTCCATATCCACGGATTTGACCAACGCGCACTGTGCAGCCCTCCACCTAGCACGCACTGCTGCAGAAGCCGCGTAGGAGCGACCCGCGCACTCCAAACCCCCGCTGCTCAAGGCTCAGCTGCGTGTTCGAGGAAAGCGTCTCAGTTACAACAACATTTCCACTTCCGCCCGTTTTCCGGAATGAGCGAGGACACACTCACAGCCCGGACCTGCTCACCCTGTGTGAAGCAGGAAACGCCCCGCACCTCACCATGGACGGGAGCTGGCGGTGGGAGGGGAGCTCAGGGTCCCACAGGGGTGGGCGGGGGTCAGAGGCCGCCGCGCTGAGGGACGCCCCACACAGGCTAGGCCTGGAAGCACAGCAGGCGCCCGCAGCCCCTTCCACGCCGCACGCCCCCGAACACCGGGCAGTCCACCGCCCGAGCTGGGCGCAGGGGATACGAGGCGCCAGGGCCACGGGGCATGCGCACTGGCGGCTGGTGCACCGCACACTCACATGTGGTCCAGGTTCCAGGTGCTGAAGAGGACCCGGCTCTCCCTGTTGCTGTAGGGGTTGATGGAGTGTCTGGAGGCACAGTTGTCCACGTCAAAGGGGCCCTGGGCCAAAAGAGGAAGGTCATGTCCACGGGGCAGGGCAGCATCTCCCACACTCGCCCCCACGACGGGGTGCCTAGTCAGGGCTCAGGCCCGAGAAACAGTCTGTGTTCAGGCAAGTAGGAATCTGCCATGGAATGGCACCCCCGTCCCTCGTCACCCCAGTGTGAGGCTCTGCAGTGGGGACAAGTCGGTCCTCCCACCGTCGGGGACGCCAGCCTCCTCACTGCACGCCTCCCACACCTGCAGCCTCCCACGCCACCACCACACACACCCTGCGGGAAACAGAGGCCCACAACCAGCGAGGGCTGTGAATGACCTGCTCCCTCTCTGTCTCCTCCACAGGCTCCTGGCGCGTCCGTGACCCCACACAGACCCTGGACAGCCGGGGTGCTCTAAAGCGTCACCTCTTCCCTGAAGCCCCCAGCTACACCCCACCCAGAAGACTGCCCTCCCACAGCACCCCCTGCCCGAAGCCCCCTAGCCGACTTGCCTACAGGCCCCTGACCGAGAGCCTGCCAGGGTCGGGGTGCAGGCCTGGTCTTTGTACCCCCGACGCTGCGGGGCTCAGGTCACAGTCCCGGGAGCGAGAGGTCACAAGGGGTAACGTGAAGCAAGTCGGGAAGGAGCAGTGCTGGGACAGTCAGGGCCCGAAACCCGGGGAAGGACTAGCCGGGCAGGGGCACGAGGAGCCTGTCAGGGGGAGGGAGGCCGCACCCGCCCCTGGGCCCTGCTCTGGATGACCTCAGTGACGCTAGGAAGGCCACCAGAGGTGGGAGGGGCCTGCCCTGGAAAGGTACCTTGTAAACACAGACAACTCGCGGCCCAGGCCCTCACCAAAGCCCCCGATGCCGGCGGCACTGGAGGCTGGACCAGGCCTGGCCCAGCACACATGGGAGAGCAGGGAGGGCAGCAGGAGGGAAGCAGGGGCGGTGGGTCGGCCTCTGCTTGTCCCCCCGAGGGCCAGCGGCCCGCCCCCAGGGCGCAGTGATGCCCCCGCAGCTTTGTCCCGGAGGGGGCCCAGCCCTCAGAAGGCTGCATCTGCCTGGTGCTGCCCCGCAGGGCGCCAGGCTTTACCAGGGCCCGGAACGCCACGTCCAGCCTCAACCCTGCAGCCCCTGGGCTCTCTCGTCCAGAAGGCTTAGCCAGGGGAGCAGAACACTTCTCAGCTGCCCAAACAAATGCATGCCTCCTCTGATGCCTGGTCAGGGCCCTGCTCCTGCGCAGTGTGTCCTGCTCAGCCCCTGCAGCAGTTCTCAAGGGCAGGGCCCTGTACCTGCGTCCACATCGCCTGGGAAGCTCGTCAGAAATGCAGGTTCTCAGGCCCCACCCCCAGCTGCTGGAACAGGAGCTCCAGGTGGGGCCCAGCAGCCTCCCAGAGCCCCCAGGGGGATTCCACCACCACTGACATTTGGGGCCCACCAGCTGAGCTGACGCACAAGGGCTACCCCACCTGTCCAGGCCATTGCCAGGGTAGCCCCAGGGAAGGCGCCCCGCTCACCTGGCAGGAGAACCAGCCTTCGGGCGTGCAGAGCCGGCCACCCGCCTTAGCCCCTCTGTCGAAGTAGCTGCCATGGTACCGCGCCTCCTGCAGCTTCCGGCACATGGCGCCCACGATCCGCTGATACTCTTCCTGAGCCTCCCCACCAACCAAGGAGGCGCAAGAGGTCACCTGGAAGAAGCAAGGGACATCGCTGAACGTTGGCCACGAGCCCTGGGCAGAGCTCCCAGTCCATTCAGCGCTACAGTCCTCAGAGCCCCTGCCCCCTGGGTCCCAGCACAGCCCTGAGGTCAGGGGGCGGGGGTCTGATTTCACACCGACCATGGCTGTCTGACCCTGGGGAGTTTCTCTGGGCCCTAGAGATGGCGCTCTGGTCACAAGTACACAGATAAACTCAAGCTCTAGGCATCCTGGCTGCTTTGGGGCCAGAAACCTGAGAGGAAGCGGGCAGGTGGGGAATGACCACCGCGTCACCTCCTACCTGCCCATGAGGCGCAGCTGCGCACCTCGGGGTGCACCTGAGCTCGTGCTGAGCACTGGGGCAGAAGCGCGAAGACCGCCTGGCCTAGCGGGAGTGACAGCTGGACAGCACATGGACCAGTACAGGACAGAGGGCGGGCACCCAGCAGGGGTTGTGAATGACGTGCTGGAGACACTGGGTCACCAGTGCAGGAGGCGCATTCTCAGCGACAGGAGGAGCCTGAGGGTGGCCACGGGGAAGAGGGGAGCCGGGAACAGAGAGCGACTGCCCCCTACTTCCGTGTGGCGTCTGTCAGAGCTAACGGTGGACAAGATGGTTACTTGGGATGAGTTCACATCAAAACTGAACTGCTGGACAGATGAAGAGCTCACAGGCGGGTTCTGGTCCCAGCCCACAGGGAGAGCTCAGGCTAAGCGGAGGGAGACAGAATCTGTGACCCCAGGGGTGGAACTCTGAGGGGTGGGAGCCAAGTACCTGCTGTGCGGAGCACAAGGTGGGGAGCTTGCTGGGCACATGGTCCTGCTGGCTCGAGTCCGCCAGCACCCACACCCGCACCGCCCGGTGCTCCTCCGACGTCCATGCCCACCCTGGGAACAGAGTCCCGACAGCAGAGCCCGCTTCTAAACCTGCCCGGCGGCACACCCGGCATCAGCGGGGACCCACCTCTCTCAGGTAGCTCCGGATCCGGCTCTCGCAGCTGTACCTCAGGTAGCCAGACTTGTTCCGAAACCGGGCCTCCAAACCTGCCGGAGGAGAGAGACGAGACGCCTGGAGACCGGGCAGCGCGCTCTCCCAGGAGGGGCGGAGCGTGAGGGCCGCCGGCTCTGCTCCATCTAGAGCCGTCCTGACCATGACGGGCCTGCTGTCTCTGGATTTTGCTGGTCTGGGAAGGATCTGTGGTCCCCCTGCACGGAGCACGGTGGCACCTCCAGGTCCTCTCTCCAAGAGGGCTGCAGTCTCTCAGGGCTGCCTCCACCTGGCTCAACAGGCCAAGCCAAAGGTGGGAGCAGCCCAGGTGAATGGATAAAGATGTGGTCCATCCACGCAATGGAATATCACTCAGCCTGAGAAAGGAAGGGGATCCTGACACCCCGCTACCACATGGAGGAACCACGAGGACACGGTGCTGAATGCAGGAGGCCGGGCGCAGAGGTAAGCACCGTGTGATCCCGCTCTCACGGGATCATTCACTGAGACAGGGAGGGCCGGGGGGGAGGCGGGGAGTGTTTAACAGGGACAGAGTTTCAGGTTAGGAAGGTGAGAAAGTTCTGAGAACGGATGGTGGGGATGGTCGCACAACGATGTAAATATATTTAATGCCAGTGACCTACACGCTTAGAAACGATAAAGATGTTATGCCGGCATTACCGTAACTGAAAAATAAATAAAAATGAAAAGGCCAGTCCCAGGGCTGCCCGGACTCTGGCCCCGCACTTAGGGAGCCCCTGGCGTTCGGAGCTGAAATAGAACCCGTCTCCCCGCAGGTCGGCTCTGAGGAAGCCCCCGCCCCACCCCCTTCAGCTCCCTCCAGGCCCGAGTCCTCCAAGCACCTTCAAACCACGGCGGATCCTCGGCCCTGGTCTCAGCCGCGATGTTCTCGCTGACGGTGTGCAGGAGGTCGGCCAGGAGCTTCTGCCGCAGCGGGGCCCGCTCGTCAGAGAGCAGCTGCCGGGCGGCCTGGATGAGCCCTGCGTGCGGCTTCTGGAACACGCTGAGGAAGCGGCTGATGTCACTCACATCTGCCATCGAGGGGGAACAAATGGAGAGGCCACCAGTCCTCGGAGCACCACCTCGGGGAGACGCAAGGATGCCCGCATGATCGCCCCTCCTGCCCAGCCCTGTCCTGACCTCCCTCAGCCTGGTGCTCCGGGCCTCGGGCCTGGCTGCCCAGGCCGGGGGTGGTGAGAGGACAAATGAGGAGGGAACAGGGCACGAGCTGGAAAGTGAAACCACACAAGCAAGTTGCGAGTTGCCGCTCTCCTCCAAGTGAAGTCTGCCGTCTCTGGGTCCCCCTGGAGACCTCATGTCTGATCGCCCTGCCCTGTCCTCCTGTCCCTGGAGCCTTTCCGCACGTGCCGAGAGCGGTGAGCCCCCGAGCGAGCACCGGGGTCAGGAGGAGCAGGCGCACCGGGGACACGGGGACGCTCGGTGCTCCAAAGCCAACCGGTGCCATCCACTCTCCACAGGCTGACAAAGAAAAGTCACATGATCGTAGCAATCGGAGCAGAAAGACAGAGAAAATCTCTGAGACCTAGGGCTTCGGGAAACGTTCTCAGACTGAACACCAAAAGCATGGGCATGCAAGAAAACCGAAAAAGGGACGAAATGAAAAACCTTTACTCCGCGGAAGTCCCATTTAAGAAAATGAAGAGACAAACTGCAGAGAAAGAGGAAACGTCTGCAGACCACCGACCCCACGGCAGACTGGGATCCAGAGGAGATTAGGGGGACCTCTCAAAACTGACCGACAAAAAGTCCACTTAGAAAACCAACGAAAGGCACGTGACCAAAGAGGATATTCAGAGGGTAAACCAGCCCACGAGAGGGTGGTCAGCACAATTAGCCAGGAGGGAAACACAAGTCAAGGCGCCCGCTCGCCCCCAGATGGGCTAAAACAAAGCCAGCCAGGCACCCAGAACTGGGGAGGCCGCCCCGCCCCTGCTGTGCAAACAAGACGGGGCTGCCTTTCTGGAAAGCAAAGTGCAGCTCCTTTTCTTTTTTTAAACAACTTTACTGAGATGGAATTTTCTAGAAGGACAAGGTCCAACAGAGGAAGGGTGCTTGCAACTTGGAGTACACACCAGACGTGTCGCCTTCCCTGCAGACTGCAGAGTTCCAGCAGAGGGGCGAGGCCACACCTCCGCTACTCTTAGACCTTCTCTGTCCTTTAGGCAGAGAAGGCAGGACCGTCCCGGTCCTCGGAGCTCTGCGTCCTTCCCGGGGCACCAGAAGCATCTCCTGAAACAGAAGCCAGAGAGCCAGACAGCCCTCCTGGGGGAAGTGCACACACCTTGCCACTGGCCTAGGTCTCCGGAGAAGCACTTGTCACCCAACACGGCCCCCCCACCTCTGACAGCACGGCTCGAACGCGGCAGCCTCCACGTGCACGCGAAGGCAGCGTGTCCGCAAACACCGACGCAGACCAGACACCGAGCGTGACAGGAGCCGCCAGCCCTCCCCCGAGAAAGCCCCGCAGCAGAGCAGCCACTCTCTCCAGTCCGCCTCACCCAGTGCCAGAGGCCTCCCTTCTGCCCTTGGGAGTTACTAGGACACCTCAAGTGAACAGAAATAAAACAAAAGGACGTTTTTAAAAAGGAAAAAAGACACAGCAAACAACCAATTGGACATCCAGGCTCCTGGCTTTCCCTCTTCTGACTTCAGAGCACGGGGACCCCTCCCTCCCCGAGCTGGTGCCCCACCCCCGGGGAAGACCCTCAGCACCTCCAAAGCCCCACCAGTTCCCCGCCCACCTCCAGGGTCCCCACCACTTACAGCCCTGCCAGGTCTGGCCCGCAGTGAGGAGCACGAGTTCCGCGCCGTCCGGGACGCTGCAGAAGCGATCTGCGGTCAGCTCCGAGCCGTCCTCATACAGACACAGGCGGGAGCCGGGAACGGGCAGCTGCGGGGAGGGGAGGGGACAGCAGGGCGGGCGCTGCCGGACTGGGTCTCGTGGGCCCACCGTGGGCAGGCAACATACGGGCTTTCCACCTGCAGCCCTCGCGGTGTACAGGGAGGACCTACGTTCTGAAGACTCACACTTGAGATGCTATCTCTGGGCATAGAGCACATCAAAACAAGAGCTCCTACTGCAGGTTGTTCTAAGACGTGGAAAGTCACAAAAATACACACACGGCGGTGACTGCTCTGTGGGAGTCATGACTCGGACTCCTTCAGAACGAGCCCCTCCCAGGCACTTCAAAATCCAAGCCTGTTTCCCGAAATGACGGCTAACTGCTTCCACTAGGCCTGTAAACACACCCGCACTGCCCAACAGGTGCCAGGATGCAGCACCTCCCGCTCACGTGTCTCCTTGGGCGCTGATTAATTAAGGGGACATCTTACTGAAGATGACTCACCGCCTCTGTCTACAGGACTGTGACCAGCATCTGGGACTGTTAACTTGCTGAGTTCTCTATTGCTTAACTCTGATCAATTTTAAGAATTTTTACAGTAAATTTTTATTCCTCCCCTCACCCCACCTCACACACATACACATTTGCAACCCCAGCTGGTCTAAGCCCAGCCAAGGGAAGTAACACAGTAAGGGTAAGAATGAGGGCTGAAATCCCTACAACGGGGGTGTGCAAGGGCCTTTAGAGGCCTCTGAGTGCAACCCCTTCATCTTACACCAAGGGAGACTGAGGAGGGGAGATGCCGCGTGGCTGTGCCCCGGAGCACGCAGCAGGTTAGCCGGCGGCCACGGGAACTGGTCTCTGAATCTCAGGCCAGAGCTGTACTGACCTACACGGTCAGAAAGACGGAAATGTTGTCCCAGGTCCCTCCACAAAGTCCCCCAGCTCTGACTGGGGCTGAGGGGCCAGAGGGGGACTCTGGGAACCCCTCCACAGCACGGAAATAGGGATTCCCTGGGGCCTGGACGTCTCCCACGCTGCCTGGTTTTGAGACAGAAAAGCAGCATCTCTTATTCTCCCCAAATTTCTCCCACGCAGGTGGGCACCTGAGCACTGGGGCAGAGGCTTCACTAGGGCCATCTGCTAAGACACGGCACCTCTGCAGACACCAAGCACGGCCAGAAGCCCCAGAGGACTCCAATTGCCCCAGCCTGCGGTAGCCCCCGCCCTCACAGAGGCTTTGCTAAGAGGCTTTGGGCTCAGCCAGTCCTGGGTTTAAATGCCCGCCGATCCTCTGCAGCTATGGCAGGTTGCTTAGTCGCTTGGCACCTCAGTTTCCTCATCTGTGAAATGAAGGTTTTAGCACCCAATTCACAGGGCCGCATGTGGACTCCACCACAACCCACGGAAGAAGCCAGAGGGGCCCAGGGACCGGCACATGGCCGTCAGCCATGGTTAGGTTCATGTTCTCCACCCATGGGACATGGACAGTGTCCCCTCCCAGTGACCAGGTCAGGACTCAGGGACACACTGTGTGGCTCGGTGCAGCCTGAGCTCCACCAGTCCCGAGGGTGCAAGACGACAGCTCAGCATTTTTCCATCTCACCAGCAGCGCTCTGGGCAGGCTCGCTCAGACCCCGAACCCCTGGCTCCCTGCCCCGTGGCGCCGCAAGTGAAGGCCCCCAGTTCCCCAGCCCCCGGCCCCCCGGGGCGCCTGCAAGTGGAGGCCCCCAGTTCCCCAGCCCCCGGCCCCGCGGGGCACCT